GGGGGGGGGGGGGGGGGGGATGGGTGTTAGGATTTTGATTGGTGGGTTTGAGGGTTGTGTTGTGGTGTTTAACTGAGTTGTATTTGGATTGACCTAGAACATGGCAATTTGCATTTGTGTTGATTTCCATTTTTTGTGGCTTGATCTCTCTCTTTAATTGAATAAGGGTGTTTTGTTGATTTAGGGTTACTCTGAATCGAATCAAGTGAACATGTTGTTATGTGGTAATTGATGGCTTTTTTTTATTTTTTTCTTTAGAGTTTGTTTTTACTATTTGCAAATCTCTCTCTGGCTATGTATCTATCTTGGTTGCTCAGTTGCTTTGCACCAATTTTGTTAGGGGTAATTATATTTTTTTTGTTCTTCTCATTTTTGAAGTTCATAATGTCTTATATAATTCATTGTTGTGATTCCTATATGAAATTATCATATTTTCTTCTTCAGGCGAGGCATTATAATTGTTGATTTTAAATTCTTGCTTTTTCTAAAGAAACTAAGCATTACATTTATTTTCTTGCATATGCATCATTTTTTTATAACTTTTACCATTTTTAAATTGTTATCACGCAGTGTTTACTGCCTATTCTCGGAAAACTGCTATTTNTCTTGCATATGCATCATTTTTTTATAACTTTTACCATTTTTAAATTGTTATCACGCAATGTTTACTGCCTATTCGCGGAAAACTGCTATTAACAATGCATTATTAGTCCATGAATGTATGTATGTTGTTGAGATTGGGTATATGCTATGCTGTGCTTTTGTGTTCTTGTTTTGTTCTGATGTTCTTCTAGGAATCTAGATAATGTTATTTGTTTATTACCCACCACATTCATGTTTTCATTCGGTTTAGTTTTCTGTAAATTTTTTTGGTTGATAGCTACCAAAATTATTGCTGCAAACATATGCATACCCTGCAATATCTCTTTATTTTCCTTTTTCTTCTGTTAGTTACTCACATATATGCATGCTGCAAGTGTTTGACTTATTCATGAATTTGTTTTTGTACTTATTGGATTCACATTTTACATTTGATTCTAGGCTTCATTCAACTTGTGACTCTTTCATTCACCCTTTTCCTTCCATGCTGATGGCAGTTATTTCCCTACATGCAGGATTCCCCCGTCTTTAACTTTATCAATAGTCTCTCCCCTATTAAGCCAGTTAAGTCCATGCACACTACTCAGACGTTTAACTCTCTTAGTTTTGCATCCCTTCCATCTGTTTTCACTTCACCGCATGTCAGTTCCCTCAAGGATTCTACATTCTTAAGAAGGTAACTGGTTATTCTTCTTGAAGAATTTCATCCGAAATCTAATTTCTCCTACCATGGCCTCTGTCTATTCAGGAGTGCATGTGTATATATCTTACTATGCATTGTTTCTATTCAGGCATCAATACTCAGATCCATCAAAACCAGAGTTGTCTTCTGATAATGGGGCCAAAGTTAATTGCTGTGAAGGTAGTACAGATGTTGCTCATACCTCTGGTGAGCAACTGGAAAATTTTGAACCAGGTAATTCTGGGGGTGAAGCTTCTGCTGAGGCAGCTTGTGAATGCTCAAAGCTCTCAGTTGAGCTCCAACGGACCTTAAGTAATGATTGTAATAGCCCTAATTGCAACTCAACACATTGCCTTGGCACTGAAACCAAATGTGTTTCAGAACTGGCCGGCACATCAGTGCCACTTTCTCCATTAGGTCAAGATGTCTTGGAAGGGGGTCTGTTTGGAAGTGAAGTGCATAGAGAGCATTATAGCGAGATTGATCATGATAAAGAAGCAATTGGTTGTTATGGGGAAATTTTGATGGCTGATATTGCTGATCTATTAGTTTTTGAGTCACCCAATGATACTGAGGTTTTTAATGGCACCTGTCAGAAATCTCTGGACCCTGGAACAAAATTCTGTACTTCTCTTATCAATGATTTGCAACCGGCACAAGATACTGGTGAAGTTGGTCTAGGAGAACAACAGAGAACAGAAAGTTTGTACATTCAACCAGTAGAGGGTGGTAATCAAAAGGAAATAGCTGAGACACAAGACATGTTTGCCAATACTTCTCTGAGTAATGGTGTGGCTGGTGGGCTAAGTGAAAAAATAAATGATAAGGTGGGGAATTTCATTCCATTTAATATGCATTTTTGTCAACACACGTTGCAGGCTTCTTGTTCATGAATAGCCTTTTTTTTTATCGTTCTTAAATACATAATACTTTTTTTATTATGCATATATTGGATTTTGTTGGAACCATTCATTTCTTACTACAGATTAGCTACTGATACCAAGAAAGAATATGGAATGTTTGCTTCTTCAAGCAATCCATAATGCTAACCTTCAATAGAGTCTTCAATCCAGCTATAAGTCTACCCTTATTTATATAGAGTATTAATGCTCGCAAGCAAGAAACCAAGTAATCTCCTTTATTCCATCCAAGTAGTGCAGTCAGATTCAGAGCTAATCTTGTTATAGTAATTAAGATGAACACTCAACCACACTTACACTGCTGAGCACTACTATTGTAGCTTTGAAGTGTTAAATTGGGCTACATAGTTGGCAGATGAAATGTTTCAATTTTGCTACATTTTAACACATCATTTTGGTTTGATCTGCTTTTTGTAGGCTGTTTCTAATTTGTACCGAGGTATGAGAAGACGCTGTCTGGTGTTTGAGATGGGCGGGGCTCGTAGAAAGCATTTGGATGAGGGTTCAAGTGCTGGTTCATCCATGTTATTGCTGCCTGATGGAACCACTGGTTCCAATGATAAGCAACTAGCTCCTATAAAGCCTGGAAATGATTCCTCACGGTGCATTTTACCTGGAATTGGCTTGCATTTGAACGCTCTTGCAACAACTTCAAAGGACTATACGGTTGTCAAGCATGAAGCTTTGGCTTCTGGAATAAAAATAAGAAGTGCACACGACTCCAGTGCCTCCTTTCATTATTTGACTTCTGGTCAAGAACCATTGAATAATTCTTTAGTTGTGACCTCTTCAGAAATAGACATAGGTAGTGCAGAAAATGAAGCTTTGGTTGTGGAAGAGGCTTCTCGGGCATCTGGATATGAGGTCACTGAAGAGTTCAATCAGAGTAGCCCGAAGAAAAAGAGGCATGTGTTTTTTTCTTAATAGAATTTCCCTTTCTAATGTTCAATTCACTTTTCCACTGTGAGAGATTGAATAGGATTTTCAGGCGTAGGTCAGAACATGCTGGAGAAATGGAGGCCTGTAAGCGTTGTAACTGTAAAAAATCAAAATGCTTGAAGCTGTAAGTTTGTTCGTACCATCAAGTTGTCAACAAATTTCCTGCTTATTTTCTTACTATTTAGTTCATTTGTGTGGTGCTCCTCCTTTCTCATTATCTGGTTTGTGAATTTAATCTTGGACATTTTTCTTAGGATGGGTTAATGTAAATATTTTGTAAGAATGAGATGCTTTTCATAACCTTGGGAATTTGTTGTAAAGGGTTTTGATAGTGAAGGGCTCTTGTGGGAAAAAAAGTGTTCGCCAGGTTAACAAATCAACCTACTTAGTATCCAGAAAATAGAATATATCCAAAAATAATTCAATAACTAGAGAAGAAATTTGTCACTACAAGAAGTGACTAAACCCAGGTTGGAATGATAAATAGAAGTCAGATCATCTGCACATGATTAGAGCTTAATTAACACTATACATGAAGCTCTTGGGTGTTACTTAAGCATAAAACATTCTTACCATTTTTTTCTCATGATTAACTTCTTGAACTTTCCCCTGTAGTTACTGTGAATGTTTTGCTGCTGGTGTCTACTGTGTGGAGCCATGTTCATGTCAAGAATGCTATAACAAACCTGTTCATGAAGATACTGTTCTTGCAACTCGCAAACAGATTGAATCACGCAATCCTCTTGCATTTGCTCCCAAAGTGATTAGAAGCATCGACTCTCAACCAGAAATTGGGGTTGGAATACAAAACCTTGGCTTTTCATTTTCATATCTGGTGATTTTGAAGTGTGAATTGTCAATAAAATGTTATTGGTCTCACAGGACGACACCAGCAAGACTCCTGCCTCAGCACGACATAAGAGAGGATGCAACTGCAAGAAATCTGGTTGCCTAAAGAAATACTGTGAATGCTATCAGGTTTTTCCCTCTTGGTGCATTTGTATGTTATTTGTTGTTTATCAGCTGATTAACTGGTGGTTTTTCTATTAAGGGTGGTGTTGGATGCTCCATTAACTGCAGATGTGAAGGGTGCAAGAATGCGTTTGGCAGAAAGGATGGTGAGCATGCCTTTGAGCTTTAATGAAAATTTTATTATAGTGCATTTCACCACTTCAATCAACAATCACCGCATCCTTCCCTCCCTGTTACCTTTTTCTCTTCCTGCAGTCATGCAAACTATTTTTTGTTGACTTTCTGATTTAGGATATGCTCTATTAGAAGCCGAATTAGAAGAAGAGGAAACAGAAACACGTGAAAAAAGTGTAGTGGAGAAGAGTTCACATATTGTCCTCCAGAACGATGCTGAGGCAAATACAGATTCTGTTCTTCCTGCAACACCTTCGCGGTTTTGCAGGTATGAGTTAAGCACTTGTGGACTGAAATGGGTGATCCCCACAGTTTTCATAATTTAATTGATATTTTATGTCTCAGACAATCAGCTCAGCTGCCGTTTTCCTCAAAGTGCAAACCACCAAGATCTTCTGTCCTTTCTATTGGATCGTCTTCTGGGTTGTATGGTGGTACCCAAAGGTTTGGGAAGCCAAATTTGTTTCAGCCACTACAGAAGGTTGAAAAGCATTTTCAAACCATTCGAGAAGATGAAATGCCTGAAATTCTTCTGGGAAACGGCTCTCCTAGCAGCGGCATAAAGTCTTCATCTCCTAACAGTAAGAGAGTCTCTCCTCCACACTCTGAGTTTGGGTTGTCTCCTGGTCGGAGAAGCAGCCGGAAGTTGATTTTGCAGTCTATTCCTTCGTTTCCTTCACTCACCCCCAAGCATTGAGATTATTGTCATCTGTTGGGTGAACTTGGAAGGATTTCTCTCAGACCTACATTGTATACTTATAGGTTATGTTGTTCTTGTTGGTATGCCCTTTGAGCTTGCCTTCTCTGCTTGTATAATAGTCTGTTGTTTCCAGAATAATCAAACTATCTTTGCGATTTTCAAATTATTTCATTTTTACAAGATGGCTGTCCATATTTTGATTGCATTTTAAGTCTTAAACTAAGGGGGTGTTTGATAACACCACTTAAGGTTAAAAATTGAATACTTTAAACACTTAATAAATTAAATTCGTTTGATAACTTAAAACTCATATTACTTAATATTTTAAATACTTTTTAAAAATAAGTTAAAATTTTAAGTAGCAAGTCACTTACTTATTATTTAATGTTAAAAATGTTAGTTATTAAGAATTTTATCAATTTTTAATAATAGATAAATATACCTTTACCACTATTGTATCATTGCCACCATCACCAACACCATTACCATTGTACCACCGCCACTATCACCATCACCACCACTACCATCACCTCCATTATGCCACAATCACCACTATCGCTGTCACTTTCACTATCATTATGTCACCGTCATTAACACTATTACCATTGTTGTCGCCGCCACCATTATTACCACCATCATTGCTGTCGCCGTCACCGCCGCCACCACCACCACCGTTACCACCATTGTGTCTCCGCTATTACCACTACTACCATTATATCACCATCATCATCATCATTTGTGCCGCCGCTACCACCACCACTATTGTCGCTGTCACCACCACCACCATTATGCCACAATCACTACAACTGTCACTGCCATTGCCACCACCACCACCTTCATCGCCACCATCGCCACTGCCACTGTGTCGTTACCACCATCATAGTGTTGTCGTCGCCACCACCGTCACCACTATTATGGCTGCCACCACCATTTCCATTGTATCACCGCTACCTCCATTACTATTGTCGTCACCACCATCACCACCACAACCATTACTGCCACCACCATCACCACTACCACCGTCACCACCATTGTGTCACCGCTATCACCATCACTATCACTATCGTTACTACCATTGTGTTGCCGCTACCACCACCATAGTGTTACCGCTACCATCACCATCACTATCGTTGTTGTCAACACTATCATTGTGTCATCGCCACCACCATTATGTCACCACCACCACCGTCATTGCTATCACTACTACCACCACCATTTTGTGATGATAGTGATAGAAATAAGATAGTTGTGAAGAGATGGTTAAAGAGAAGGACAAAATTAGAATAATAATAATTTTTCAGATTTCAACTCCTTATATTTGTCAAATAGTTTAATTAAATTCAATATTTAAATTTCAGTTGATAACAAACAATCAGTATTCAACATTTAATTTTTAATATTCAACTTTTAATTTTATCAAACACCATCTAATTAGTTTTTTTTACTATTGATGTTATGTGCACAAGGAATGGTAAAGTTCTGATGGTTGGTAGAATCGGAATTTAGTCATGCAGAAGCTGAAAAAAAGTGTTGGGCCAAGAATGCAAACAACTATTCGGCTCGGCTCCTCCTATCTCATTTCCACCACAGGAGTCTCATCTACTGGTATGCCCTTTTAAACCAATAAATTTGGGCCCAAATTAATTAACTAAATTTTTTCTTTGTTGGTTGAGATTTTAATTTAACTTTTTCTTGGACTCAATTTTTATGGGTTTAAATTTACAAAAACAGTAATGATATGTTTATCAAGTTTTCTATTCTAAGTGATGTGGTATAATCTATATATCATTGAATATTAATGCGACCCACTAATTTTATGGTTATAATTGTACACATAACTTGGAATAAAAAACTTGGTAAAAAATTTTGGTCAACATAGAATTGTTGCAAAATAATATTAAAAAAATGAATTCCAATGTTGGCCTAGATTTTGAAATTTAATTTTTTTTATCTTATTTTTTAATGTTAAACGACTCTTGTTCTCAAATCTAACAACAATGTTACTTTGTAATGATGTGACACTGTTATTTATTAAAAACAATATATATTGATGTCACATTATATGATACATACTATTTAGATTCTATATGAATCATTGAATGTAATTTTACAATTTTTTTGTCAGTGATTAAAGTGTTAATGAATGTGTTACACTGTCATATATCACTATAATGTCATATTATCGACAATTTGAATCGGAACAAAAGGAAAATCGATCTTTAATGATGCTTCAACATTTGTGTCTTTTCTTTTTTGTTGAAAATTGAAGGATTTTGCCACAATTTTTTTTAAATTTAAAAACCCATATTCTGAGGGATATAGCAGTTATCGAATTTAATGGGATCAAATAATTGTTACTATTGGGCATTTTTATCATAAAAAAAAGTACTTCTACACGAAACATTTTGTACTAAGTACTTTTTCCATAATTAAGTGATAAAATAAGTACCGGCTTACAAAAATCCAAAAATTTTCTTTGTTGGTTGATATTTTTTTTTTTGTTGGTTGATATTTTAATTGGGCTTTTTGTTGAACTTAATTTTTATAGGTTTAAATTTATAATATGAACTATGTTATCGATCAATAAATTTGGATTATGTTTTTTTGGTGGGGCCTAAAATCCTTACTGGCCTTATATTTGGACCGACATCGGACACCCCACTGGTTAGATAGAGAGAATACATTTAGATGTGTCAAATTATTTCAGATATGTATAATGTTTGGGTCACTGACATAATTTGCTGTTCTAATTCACTGTAACATTTGGATTTAGCGTAAATTCTATCAAACATTAGAATTTTATATTGATCCAATAATTATTATAAAGTTACATCATTATGTCAACAAATTAAGTCAAATTTTTAGGTTTAAATAGGATTATTCTTTAATTTAACCCATAAACAAGAAATCGCAGAACTAATTCTATTACGTATTGGATGTCACAAATTGAAAACCAAATTGATTGACATTTTAGTAAAATTAAAGTGTTCTTCAACGTCGTACACTCCCTTTCAACAATGGACTCATAGTCATCATTGGCCTGAAAAGCTTCATCCCTCACACCTTTGCCGTAACACACAACGCTACCGGGGCTGCTCCAGGCCCATCTCAAAAGGTCGCATTTGGCCTTTTGACATTTTTGGGTTTCAATTCAAAGCTTGACATCCAAAAAATCTTATTTTTAAAGAAAAATTGGCTGACTTGGGCTCAAGGCTGATAATCGAATTGATCCCCTTTTTTCTAAAAAAGTTTAAAAATTGTTTAAATTTGATTCGTTAGTTCGAACTAAGCTCAAAACGAGCCGAACCCGGGTAGTTTTATTATTTTACATAAAAATGAACAGAGTTTTGAGAGCTCAAGTCAAGTCTTTTAGGCCCTTTTTTTAAACAATTCTAAAAAAATATTTAAATTCTCTAAATGNCATCATCATCATCATTTGTGCCGCCGCTACCACCACCACTATTGTCGCTGTCACCACCACCACCATTATGCCACAATCACTACAACTGTCACTGCCATTGCCACCACCACCACCTTCATCGCCACCATCGCCACTGCCACTGTGTCGTTACCACCATCATAGTGTTGTCGTCGCCACCACCATCACCACTATTATGGCTGCCACCACCATTTCCATTGTATCACCGCTACCTCCATTACTATTGTCGTCACCACCATCACCACCACAACCATTACTGCCACCACCATCACCACTACCACCGTCACCACCATTGTGTCACCGCTATCACCATCACTATCACTATCGTTACTACCATTGTGTTGCCGCTACCACCACCATAGTGTTACCGCTACCATCACCATCACTATCGTTGTTGTCAACACTATCATTGTGTCATCGCCACCACCATTATGTCACCACCACCACCGTCATTGCTATCACTACTACCACCACCATTTTGTGATGATAGTGATAGAAATAAGATAGTTGTGAAGAGATGGTTAAAGAGAAGGACAAAATTAGAATAATAATAATTTTTCAGATTTCAACTCCTTATATTTGTCAAATAGTTTAATTAAATTCAATATTTAAATTTCAGTTGATAACAAACAATCAGTATTCAACATTTAATTTTTAATATTCAACTTTTAATTTTATCAAACACCATCTAATTAGTTTTTTTTACTATTGATGTTATGTGCACAAGGAATGGTAAAGTTCTGATGGTTGGTAGAATCGGAATTTAGTCATGCAGAAGCTGAAAAAAAGTGTTGGGCCAAGAATGCAAACAACTATTCGGCTCGGCTCCTCCTATCTCATTTCCACCACAGGAGTCTCATCTACTGGTATGCCCTTTTAAACCAATAAATTTGGGCCCAAATTAATTAACTAAATTTTTTCTTTGTTGGTTGAGATTTTAATTTAACTTTTTCTTGGACTCAATTTTTATGGGTTTAAATTTACAAAAACAGTAATGATATGTTTATCAAGTTTTCTATTCTAAGTGATGTGGTATAATCTATATATCATTGAATATTAATGAGACCCACTAATTTTATGGTTATAATTGTACACATAACTTGGAATAAAAAACTTGGTAAAAAATTTTGGTCAACATAGAATTGTTGCAAAATAATATTAAAAAAATGAATTCCAATGTTGGCCTAGATTTTGAAATTTAATTTTTTTTATCTTATTTTTTAATGTTAAACGACTCTTGTTCTCAAATCTAACAACAATGTTACTTTGTAATGATGGGACACTGTTACTTATTAAAAACAATATATATTGATGTCACATTATCNTTAATGTTAAACGACTCTTGTTCTCAAATCTAACAACAATGTTACTTTGTAATGATGTGACACTGTTATTTATTAAAAACAATATATATTGATGTCACATTATCTGATACATACTATTTAGATTCTATATGAATCATTGAATGTAATTTTACAATTTTTTTGTCAGTGATTAAAGTGTTAATGAATGTGTTACACTGTCATATATCACTATAATGTCATATTATCGACAATTTGAATCGGAACAAAAGGAAAATCGATCTTAAATGATGCTTCAACATTTGTGTCTTTTTTTTTTTTTGTTGAAAATTGAAGGATTTTGCCACAATTTTTTTTTAAATTTAAAAACCCATATTTTGAGGGATATAGCAGTTACCGAA